GCCATTTGCCTTTCAGATAAGCTGTCAGGAACGATGAGGGCACCAATTTATATATCGGCTTAGGTAGTCACTAAAAAGCATCAAGTGCCACAGACCCTTTAATGGAAGCGAAAACACTGCGACAATGAGGTCAGCTGAAACGTCAAAAGGCGTTAGGATCGATTAACTTGTCTTTGATTACTAAGACTCCGAACTTCTGCTGGAGTAGAAAGTGCTACGGCCCCGAGAACAGGTTTTAAGAGACTGAAGGAAATCAGCTCGCAAGTCCGATTGCTGGTGAAAACTAAGTAGAAACTGTGTGAAAAGACAGTTTTGCGGGCAAACAGTTTCNTTTCCTTCAGTGATTCATAAATACACCTATACAGATCACATCAGAATTTGGTTCTGGTGAGGAGTGACTGTCACACCCGATCAAAAACGCATTCGGGACATGGGGTAGGCTCTGCACCAAATGAGTATAGGCACAGGCATTTATGCGAAAGTAAACATGTTTTCGGAGTGGTCGCATTGTGATGTTAGTGCTCAACTTGAGACCAGTGAAAAGCGTGTACCGGCTGAGTTTGTGTGCACAACCCGGGCTCGAAAAAGTGCGTTTATTGTACTTGCGGTGGCTCACGGCACTGGAGGGCACATGGCAGATGACATAGAGCACCATAGAATTGGTCAGTGTAGACAGCAAACCGTTGTGGCTGTGCCATAATATAGATGAGTATGTGAACACGCATAATAATCGAGCTGCTTCGTTAGTCTGCTTCACTGTGTACACGTTGAGTGTTTGCTCAAGGGGTCGGACATTGCATCAGCTGTGAAAGTTAGATAGATAAATAATTTCTTCTGTGCTTCATACCCCGATTAGAACGGTACCTCTCTACTGAAGTTTCTCTCGACAAACTGTACGGGATATTTGTTTCGTCGGTCTTCGTCCAATGCCTAAGCACGGTGGTGTTATTCGACTTTGCATTAAACTAATGTTTTTTGTTTAATAAGGACCAAGCCATAAACGTCGCTGTATTGTCACAATCCATGTCTATCGTCTGTGCAATTAAACCAGCAACTACCAAGTCCAAGTCCGTATACCGATCCGTATAGGGATGATTATGAATCAATACAAACAACTGTTCGCCTTCAAACCTGTTTTATATGAACTCCGTTCGTGGACGGACCCCTCAATATTCGATGGCAGTTATTAACTCAGTTGAATCACATTTTTTGCTCGCATCACTTTTCATGGAATAATGCACTGTTGTAGTTTCTCTCTCTCTCTGGGCATAAAAGGGCAGATCTATTTTCATAGAGATGATGAGTTATCACCCCAAATCATCACTGTAAGTGGTGTTCAATAAATTTAATTTTGGTTTTTCTTTCATTTCACTTTACAGTGGATACGTACAACAACAAAAAGTTGTTACCGTGAGTGTTCATCGGGAGGTCGGGAGGCTTACGATACACGGAAAGTACTGAAAGCTTGATGTTGCAAACTACATTCTAAAATGCACAGTGCTATTAAATGACTGGATTGATGTAGGTAGAGAATAAGGTCGGTTGCACAAAACAAAACGTGATTTGAAACAAACAGTTTGCGCTTGCAAGGAATAATCCGGATCAGCGGTTAAACAGTTCAAAGGTCTGTAGGCATCTTCTATAGCTACAATATTGAATTCGCTAGTCCGCCCCCATATGCTTTTTCACTTTTGAAAACTGTGAGGACCGACCACTCTTCTTCACAAATAGTGTAAGACAAGGCTGGAGTGCTGCGATCGGCAAACGAGTGGTGGAAAAGCGACTCAAAATTGCTGTTATTGACACGCTCCGGAGTTTAAACTCTAACATTTAAATCGCACCACGACCACCCAACTTAATGGTAAGCAACTCTTCTTTAGTTCGGCTCACCGCCAAGTCTATCCTAACAGGGCCTTAGATGATTCGCTAGTCTAATTCCTGGGGCTTGAGTAGATGGTTCGTACAGCTGAACAGTAAATTTTCGTACCCACGGATTTTACTCTCAGTATGGTCTGTAATATAAAACCCCGAAAGTTGGGGTCTCGACTTTATGCAGTAGGATTTCTGGCCTTGTTGATCTTTCGGTGGCCTTCTGGCGTTCGGGTTGCACACTAGGTCAGCATCAATGAACAACCCCGAAGAAACCCATATGGAGAGGGTTTCCAATAACATCCGGCAAGCGGTTGCTGGATAAACTATCGAGTTTCAGCTTTCCACAGAAACTCATGGCCTTAATTTAAAGTTATCTCAACGACTGCTCCATCTTCATCCCGGTAGATGGAGATATACGTTTGTTTCCCTTGAGCGTCCGTTCGGTAACGCTACCTGACATCTTTCGATTTTAATTTGGACTACCCATCCATCGGCCTTCATCGTTACGCACAATCCTCAATTCATACACTTAGACAGAACTGGAGTAAACTTTCGCTTTTTTAAAGGCTCATCATTGGTGCACATTGGACGATTTGCTCGGTTTGAATCTCCGCACTTATCACATGGAAGAGTGTGTGTTGCTCACGTTAAGGCTGATCAGAATTACCGATTCAAGATTTTTCATGTCTCCTCAAATGATAGTCAATTACTTGATCGAACCCGGTAACAGACAGTAAATACCCCAAGAACTGCACCTCTAACTCCCAGTCATATTTGTTCTAAATTACTGCTGAACCCTACTCACCCTTCTTTGTCTTTTCTCCATTTAACAGTATTAATATCTCCCAAAGCAGAATCGACAAGCTGGCTTCGGTTTGGATGTTCCCGTCATTTGTGGATAAACATGCAATTCAGAATGTCGTTGTTACTGTTTATTAGTTATTGATGAATGGTCTGGATTCACCGTTGTGTCAGGAAAAATAGCATTGACCAGTTCTAAGAGAATCAGACTGTTTCTTCCGCGAGAATAAACCGTAACCAGATAACCTGACAAATTTGTGCATCCTGAATAGTGTACAATTCGGTTTGCAATTAGAGCTTCAGTTAGAAAACGGCAGTTTGACACGATAAAATTCGAAGACCGAATGAAATCCCCACAGTCGCGTCCCAAAGACACCACTGGACTGTTCAGAAACATACCTTTACCGGAACCACCAACAGTTTTCAGAAAAAACTACAAAAAAACTTACAGACGGTAAATTTATGCAAAATAAATACCTCTTGAGACCATTGGATACTAATGTATGTTGCTGGTGGCTTCAATTTCACAATGAATGTAACCCGTCGCTCCAAACCCCGAAGACTAATAGCATTTACATGACCGTCGTTGTCCGCACATCCGCGGTCACTCGTACACATAAAATGCCAATTTGAACACTTTACTCAGAACAATGTATCTTATCGCAGTCAGTTGGTGTCATACTAGACTTGCTTGATTAAAGGTTAATGATTAAACGCCATACTTCAAATAAAAATTAGAAACAGAAATTTGGGATTGGAAACATCGAAGTCTTCACTCGTATGCAATCCGACCCTTAAAAAAGTGAACTGAGAGAGCTCAATAGAGAAGAAAAAGCAACTCAAGTTAGGTCCCCAAATCGACCGGAAGTTAACATTTTGAAACCGAAACACAAAACACTTACCGAACCGAGCAGATCCTCACGTTCCCGACTGGCAGTTATCTTCGCTTTTGTTTGCCGGAATTCTTGAGCGTAGTCTCGCAGGATCTCGCGATGACGTTTTGCGGTATGCAATTGGCTTAGCTGACCGGCAGTCATCTGATTAGCACCTGTGGGAACCAGCAGAGCAGTGTTGCTGGTAGCGCTGTTTGTCGTCGAAGCTGACAATGATTGGGTTTCGCTTGCACTAACCATGTCTGTCATTTGATCATTAATCTGTGTGAGTCTGGATAAGAAACAATAATGGACGAATCGAATATCACGACTTGACATAACCATGCGAATGTGAGACTAAGTCTTGTATTATAGTGTCTGAAAAAAACAGAGCATTACAGCCAATTTTCCGATGCAGCTGTAGTTACCATGCCGATATCAGGTGCTGGTTTCGGAGATGGGGAATATAAGTGAAAGTAAGGTAACTGAAAGTTGTATGTTTTTTAGATTAGTAACTGTGGCAAATTGAGTGTCCATTATTCTGAAGTCTGGGAAAAATAGGTCACCTGGGGAATAGGATATCCCACACTCTGCCGATGCGTTTTGATCAAGGTTTATTTTCGATGTACGGCTTATATTATACAACTATAAAAAATACTGTTGAGCCCCATTGTTGTAGGTCATGTTCCCCTAAGGAACAGTTTCCCTATTTCATTTTAAATAGGCGCAAATCTTGCACCTCCATATGCCGGTTTTGGTTGCTGTCTTCCAGTACAATCCCACTGTGAATATATACATTTTCAAGCATTCGGACCGGATAAGTGACAAGAAGAACGCCACTGTTGACAGAAAACCAATCAAAAGGTGAGGCTTCAGTCATATCGCGTTTACTGTAATGCCTACTCTGCGCTGACCAAAAAACGAGTTCCACTGTCTCCTGACGGACAAATCCGTCAAAACGAAATAAACTTATACAAATCGGGTCTAGAATTCGCGTTTCTGATACATTCAAACTATAAGAGACGAACAAAAAACTCAAAATACCTATACTCGAATGCAATCACATGTTACACAACAGCATTATTGACCAAGCAAATCTTGGGAGTCACCAAAGGGATATAGAATTGACTCCAACGCTCGAAGCGGAAAAAAACTATCTAATATGTTCCAGACGACATCAGTGTCATACACGTTTAGGATCTCATGTCCATCTGGACAGATCAATAATAATTGCAAGGAAAGCAGCAGTAGCCCAGTCATTCAAATGTCCATATGTGTTGAAGCCAAACACTTGTGCAGAGACGACATACAACGAACAACGCAGGACGTTCGTCACCAACAGCGACGTTCGCCAAGGGAACCCTCTTTCGCCAATCCTGTTCAATTTCGTCGTAGACGAGGAGACGAGGTATGCAGAATTATACAGAGCCATTAGGTAGAGTAGGTAGGTGTCCTGCGTCTTCCAGGTTGGGATCCGAAAGACTCCGCAATCAGCTGGTCGGAGACATTGAAGGATACGCCAGCGAACCGACATCAGTACCGTTCTTGTTGTCCTTTCTTATCAGGTCAGAATGCTTGAAACGGTTTGTGTGCAGAGTCCGATTGCGCACTTTGTGTGCTGACCGTAGAGGTCGCCTTCTCCCTCCCTCAAAGTAGGTCCAATCCCTGTCCACCTTAAATTTTACCACTAATCTAATAGGCATTGCCAGTCTGGCAGTGATCAATGAATTTCGCCTCATTGTATTTCGGTGTACGACCACGACCACGATGATGATGATGATGAGGAGGAGGATGAAGGAAGTACCTTGAGGACAGACCCAGTGCACTCAGCTGACTTACGCTACTGGGATCATGAATTCGGGCCTTCGATACACAACAGACATCGATTTCCAAAGAGTCCATTGTATGCGCAAGACACGCTGATTGATCTACCTGCATCGAAGTCCTCATGTTGAGAGCCCCAGATTGCGAGGTCCATCACGACGAGACTGCCCCTTGACCTGGTGTGATGGCTTGTGCACCTCTATGACCCGACGAACTACACAGAATGGTTTTTATCAAGCCGCAGATCTAATAATGCCTGGAAGGCCGAAGGGTATAGGTCATTTCAGTTTCCTGGTCCTCAACGTTGAGTGTTCGACTCGTGTTAGTGTCTCAGTCGGTAAAACGGTACAGGAGTAATTGATCCAAGTAAATGGGCCTCTAATTCGTCGCCTCACTCGCTGCCTTGCGGTTAGGTTCTTGTTAGAACTAAAGGCTTTGGACGAGAATCCTAATCGTTCTCCTGCTTAGTGGCTGGACACTTTAGCAGTACCCGTCCATCAAACTTTAATGCATACACAAACAAAAAATAATTCCATACTGCATCCGTCGTCGCGCAGGATAACCAGGACCGCGCTGCCCATTGCATCGAACGGGGTGCGTAGTGAAAAGTGGATTATATTTTTTTTTACCACCGGCTTGAAAACAAGCATGGTGCCAACGCAACAACAATGACAGT